TCTACGCGATTGACTCAATAGAAGTCACATCAAGACTATAGCGAAAGATTGCCAAGAGGAGATCTCGATCTCATAGAGATGATCAGGAAAACACAGAAACTAAGAAGACTATATCGAGGAAATGAGAAGGCCATGGTTGATCCCGAATCATTTCAAGTAGCGTCGAATTCACAGAAGGTAGCTAGCTTGTATGATTGGAAACGAGATTTCAGAAATAGTGACTTCTATAGCTATCCAAGATTGAAACTGATTGCCAAAATATTTATCTCCTCCGGCATTTTCTCCAGATATTCTAGAAATTTTTTGCATACCATATCTAGCATTTCCACACTACATACCAAATAGAAAAAACTATTTCAACGGCTACTAACGATGCTACGATCATAGAAACCCTCTATGTATATCAAAGGATGGAAGAAAAACTCGGAGTCATCTCCACAAATTTTAATGGTGTTGTTACACAATCTTAAGGGACATGTCTCGGTCTTATAAAATACCATCTTCAGCCTTATTGAAATTTCATATATATACCAAAATGGTATATGAAGGGCAATTGCCGAAATCTTTCGTTTTTGACAACACCTTAAATTAACGAGTTTTTTTAAAAAAGGAGTTCCCCGTGCCGTTATGAAAGCGGTAGTAAAAGAAAATATCAATAAAATTGATGGAGCAAACAGCCAGCACGTGTTTGAATCTGAGCTATGTATATGTAGTAATTTGCTGAATTATATGATCATTTTTTGAGAAAGTTCAACTTCTATGAATTGATAATCATTTACACTTACCAAACTGATTGCAACCACACAAAACAAGTAACTTGGGGCCATCATATTGTTTGGTTCTAATAGCTACTGAATTCAAAGACACATTAGTCGAAAGTTTTCATCAAACTCAATTTATAGTTATCTGAAATATGTATTTTCATTCATTACCATTTAGGCAAGCAAGGTACCCACATAAAAAATGTGAATAATTTTGCATCGCCCTTCTATGATGGTTGTGAAATATTCGATATTTCTTCCCAATAACTGTTATTAATGTTCATTTTATTCACCGACAATGAAATTTTCACCTCACCTATCTCAGGTCGTAAAACATGAAGTCGAAATATAAATTGAACCATATTTTTGATATTACAGATATTCTGTTAGACTAGGTACAGGGGGTTTCTGAAATAATTCTAATTATATGTATATACAGGGTAATTCACTTAACAACCGACATAGGGCAGGCGCTTGTAGGAGGTCCCAAAACATGGCAATTTAACGCAACTTACCTCTATACCAAGTTGCTTCCATAAGGAGTTATAGGCATATAGCACTAACAGCATGTCAACTTGCTCGTTAAAAGAAAACTTCCCGTTCATTTTAAAAACACTCAAACAACAATTACTTGATTGAACAACTCACTTGCCTCATTGTCAAGTTTGACGTTCATTTTCATAGCCAACTTTTGAATTTTCGATGATTTTAAATAACACACCTAGAGCGCGCGTTTTCAGTTATTCGAGTTTTTGATGAAAATGATGAGGTTTTTAGAAAAATTACTAGAGTAGCGAAAGTTTTAGAATTGAGTTGCCCACAAAACAAAGCAAAGATTTTTGAAATCCATCAAGGGTCAACAAAATTATGTTGAATATTAATGGTGCGCCACCCGGTATACCCCCTCTACAAACTTCAATTAAACTCTAGTTACTGTCAAGTAACGCCCTAGATACATTCACAAAGTGTACCAAATTTGGTTGCTTCGAGTTCAAGAATAACAGAGATATTGATTTTTTTCAAAATTTATAACTTCACTTTTAAAGCCTATATCTCCTTAGGGAAGCAACTTGGTATAGAGGTAAGTTGCGTTGAATTGCCATATTTTGGGATCCCCTACATGCCCCTGCTCTATGTCGGTTCTTATGTGGAGCACCCTGTATAGTGTCTTTCAAAAGTCTGGAAAAGGTCTCATATTTCAGAAACGGCTCGGAGAAACTTCATAAAATTTCATACAGGACCGCTTTTGATGATGACCAGTTCATTGGTGGTATTGGTAATGTTACCAAACCAACAGTTTTTTAGATATTGAGGGTAACTCAGTTTTTTCAAATAGAACACGGTATTCATTATCATTGCAACCAATTCAGCGTCACCTATCATTAATTGTGTGCCGAAATATCAGATTTCAAAGGAATGTGGTTTTTGATTTTGTTTTATTGGTGTATGAAAAACAGATATTCATCATACAGGACGTGAAAAGAAATTCTAAATTGGGAAAACCGGAATCACGAATCTGCTATTGAATTAAGGTCTATAAAAATAACAAGTTTCCATCGTTCAAGTTTGACTCCTATGATTGGGTGAAAGCATTGAAAAGGAATATTCTCAGATAAACAATGAACATTAAAAAATGAAAAAATGGATATTCGCATTCTCTATGTGATGAAAATATCAATTCTTTCTCGATTTATTCAACAGAATACAACTACTTTTCTGGCTATATGCCATGACGAACATTGAATTATATCTATTGAACACACGATAAAAATTTGAAAACTAAATTTTCTAGAGTTGAGAATCTGCATTCTTCTTCAGATGAAAATATCTAAACTGCTCAACACATGAAACGTAAAATCGATTTTACGTTTCATGTGTTGAGCAGTTTATTTGTAGTGGGACAAATCAGATGATTTTCCCCAAAATGTCACTGCGTTCAACAAATTTTTCTATCAGAGGGAATCCTAAAAGAAAAATCCAGTAGCTTGTCAGTGACAATTTGTTTGAAAAAATGCTTGAAGGAAAGAAATATAGAAATATTGAGAAAATATCGAGTCTTTACTTATCTTTTGGACGTTCCGGGACCGAATCTGCTCCCATTTTCAACAAACTGATGTTGGCATATGAATGAGTGATTTTAGTCTACATATGAGTTACAGGATGATTTCATTAATTGATCTTGAATCTACCATTTTCATGTTCAGTTTTCAGTAGTGAATACCATGTTTTATCTATATATATCAACTGAACAGGAAGCAATGCTATTGTCGCCGTTCAGTAAGGAATAAAGAACACAAGTATAATATTGTAATTATATTTCTCTTAGAGGGGCTCTAGTATAACATCATCAGTTAGACAGGAGTACAACGATCATCCTGTATCACGCATCCCAGATTGTTCCCCAACCTCCCAATGATTCCTACCATTGTCTGCTAAATATGGAGAAAAAAATCGAGTGAGCTGTAGTTACTGATGGCTCTATAGCTCAGTTCAGTGTATGAGTTGTATGACCACCAGAGGATGTGTAGAATGGGGTGGGTGACTTGAAATCGTGTGGTGTCTTGAAATATAATGCAGTGAAAATTTTGAAGTAGTGGCAACGTCGCATGTCAACGGAAGAAGCTAAACTAGTCTTTCAGTCTAATGATTTTTTGTTTATTTTTGTAGTTTTTTATCTTTTTTGTATTTTGCTAAAAAATATTTGTTCTAAAACACAGTGTTTTTTTATGAAATTGATGATTTCTATATATTTTTTATTTAATTTTCATTTCATGTCACCACCTAGACCATCCTACTTGAAATAATCGTTGATAAGAAGTCATATTTCAAGTCACCCCATATTGGGGGATGACGTTTGACATTTTTTTTTTCGAAAATACACTATATAGAAACGGTTTTAATGTATCGTTCTGTTCTTTAGGGTCGAAAGAGTTGGTGACTATTTTTAGTTTGGTTGAAAGTTGCATGGTAAGGTCGCAATCTATGGAAGTGTGTCAAAAATCTTATCAAGTCACCCCATTCTACGGTACCGTATCGGACGAAATGATCTTCACTTTTAATAATATTTCTTCTTCAATCCTCACATTGTTCTAATATTCCTTTCATTTATAGATATACTTTTGTATTGTGCTCCCAGCATTATAGTTTATTCTGAATGATAATTTGTTACAAACTCTGTCTCTCAATTGTGCCTACCAGAAAGTGTGAAAACGTCTCCATTCATAGATTTCCAAGTGATATTCTCCTGCGACATTAGTGAATTCATTCGATATTGAGTGTTACAGGCCCATTACAAGTGAGATAATCAGAGCTCTGATCGAAAGCTAATAATCCATACTACTCATTCTACCTCCCATTTAATTTAGGTGTTGAATAAGTCGTGATACTGAACAACAAACTAACGCGGCAGGCCGCGAGAATGTCGAGAGCACCGCTGAGGGAGCTGCTCAACTCGTTTACGGTTTTCAAGGTTATGTAAGTTTGACAGGAAAACAATTGAAATGAGTTTTTCCTCGAGTTGACCGTATGGCGGCACTACGGTATCGGCCACAGAAACCTGTAGGTGATTTCCATTGTTTGAGCAGACCAGATACTACAGCTCACTAGATTTCTTCTCCATATTCAGCAGACAATGATTCCTACATACATCAGCATATTTCCGAACACTCAATATATGCCGCAGTGACAAATAACGTCATAGAAGATTCTGGAATGTTCTGGAAACAATCGATGGAACAATTAGAGAGAGAGGTTTTGTTCTAAGAAGCTTCTACATAAAACAAAAAGAAAGAAACGGAAGATCATTCGAGAACGTTCTCGAACCAAAGCCTGCCAAGTGATCTCATATATATAAACAAGATATAAACGGCCAAACAACTGCCGTCAGTCAGTTAAGCAGCAAGTGTCAGAGAGACAGTTATATAATGCGTGATATGAATCGTTTTACATAAATAGTAGTTAATAAATTAGTGTTTCTTTAGTTCAAATAAATACGTTCGAAAATAAATAGTGCCATGTTCGCTTCTGCACCCATGCACCCGAATGACGTAACAATATCAATAAAAGACATATCGATAAATCGAAAGCTTAACCCGTCAGAGAGTCTAGATATTTAGTCGTCATTGCCCTAGCTGTCGGAGCTGTCGTGACGCATCGCGTGACGTAGCCTAAACTGTCACGTCACACTCTACTGTCACTGTCAGTTGCTGCCAGCCAGCTGCCAGCAGGCAGCAATCCAGCATGGCCGATAAAAATGTTAGAGAAATATGTAAAGTTTTATTTTTGTGTATTTCATGGTATGCAGTTAGTTCCACAAATAATGTCGTCGGTAAAACTGTACTCAATGAGTTTCCATATCCTGTGACGATGACAATGGTTCAGTTATTGTCTATAACAGTTTTGAGTGGACCTGTTTTCAATCTGTGGGGTGTCAGGAAGTATGGGGATATTTCCTGGAAATATTATTGGCAGCTGATAATTCCTCTGGCTCTTGGAAAATTCGTGGCGTCTGTGTTTTCACATGTAAGCATTTGGAAAGTATCAGTTTCATATGCTCATACAGGTTAGTTCCTAACAAGAGTGTATGCATTAGACATAGTAAACAGCTGTTAGGACAAATCCAATCAAATATTCATCAATTTCTATGATACATTCCTACAAAGATTTAGGTCACTAGTAATTTTCCCAAGGGAGACCCATGGAATTTATATCTGAAGAGATTAGAGACAAATTATTGATATTTTTTCACTGACCAGTTAGGAAGTTTTTTATGCATGTTTCACCTAATAATGATCTTATTTTTCAGTGAAAGCTACAATGCCTTTATTCACTGTGATACTGTCTAGGATAATAATGGGTGAAACTCAAAGCTATAAAGTGTACTTCAGTTTGGTACCAATTATAGTTGGAGTGAGTGTAGCAACAGTTACAGAACTTAGCTTTGATGTTATTGGATTAGTTAGTGCTCTGGCAGCCACTGCAGGATTTTCCCTACAACATATCTTCTCAAAGAAAGTTCTTCATGATACCAAAATCCACCATCTAAGGCTCTTGCACATATTGGGCAGACTGGCCTTCTTTATGTTCCTACCTATATGGATTTATCTAGATCTGTCTAATTTACTGGCTGATAAGTCAATAGTGGTGAGTTACATTTTTTTCTCTTCTATTAGGTACATATATTTTGTTCATTATTTATTTTTCATGGGACTGCCATTATTTATTTTATGATTGAGAGCTAGTTTAAAGTTATTTTATCTGCAATCCACTCAAAAGTCATCCATTTATGTTCCAAAATTAGCTCTTGAAGTTGACATTTCTCTTAATGACACAATAAAATGATTAGAATGTATCTTGCTAGGTGACACTTTTAGTGTCTTGCAGCTAAGGTTGAAGTTTAACTCCTAGGAACTAAAAACAAGTCAGATTACAGCTGATATAATAGCTGCTTTGACATGCTCTAGTGACTCAAAATAGTGGTATTTTCACTTATATTTCATGAATCATATATCAATTATTTTGATTGCAGAAAATATAGCATGTTTCATGATAAAAGTCACTATGTTTGACTTGCAAAATTTGATATATACATGTTCAACAAAGTGTCACATTTGATAGTCATAAAACAATGTAATATTCTATAAACAGCATAGAGAAGTGCCTTTTCTATGACATTTAACAGGCAGTTGCTATGCAATGTTCCAAGTAATTTGAATGAAATCTGTAATCAAAATTGACACTGACATTGGATGAACAAAACATGATGGAGTTTTCAATGAAAAAATACATAAAATTAGTTTTATAACATTCAGAGAAAAAATTATATGTTTCACATAGCAGCAAAGTATATTGACTGCTTTGCTGAATTCTTAGCCTTCTTGCTATGCCCTGCTATGAATTATCAGCTGCAGCTGTCTACTACTTTGCTGCCTAGTAAAACAAATAACTATCAATCTATCAATACCAAAGAAATTTAATTGATTTTCATTATTACTATGAAGATTTGTTGAATGACATTTTGCTGTGATTCATATTACCAGACACTGAAATTATCAAAATTCTCGGAAAAATCAGAAATTGTGATTGAAAAAAATGAGATTTCAACTCATGAACTGAAATTATTTAAGCTTTTCCCCTACTCATTCTAGTTGATTTAAACAGGTTGAACTGGTTGAAGTATCCATGTTTTGTTGAAATTACCAACATTGTGAAAAGCTCTGCACACTTGTAATTCAAAATATTCACCATTTAATTTTTTTTCAGAGCCAGCACAACTATAGAGTGGCTGCTCTGCTTTTCACTGATGGCATTCTCAACTGGTTCCAAAATATCATAGCTTTCAGTGTGCTTTCCTTGGTAACTCCCCTGACTTATGCTGTGGCAAATGCAAGCAAAAGAATATTTGTTATTGCTGTTTCCCTTTTCATATTAGGAAACCCTGTGACAGGTGCCAATGTTTTTGGCATGTTACTTGCTATTATGGGCGTATTGGGTTACAATAAGGTGGGTTTTGGACAATGTTGATTGTAGCTTGCATTTCATGAGACCTTTTTTCAGGCCAAATACGACCAGAAACAAGAAGAAAAGAAACAGACAGTTTTGCCATACACTCACCAGAATTGGCAGAAAAATAGTTTTTTGCCCAAGAGGTCTGGTGTATCTAATGGAGTCAGTAAGGAAAGTTATAGTGATTACTCAAATGGGTTAAATAACAATAAATTTCCTTATATCCCACAAACAACAAAAGGAAATCTACTATTCATTTAATAGGAGAGTTTTGAATGGAATTTTATTTATATTTATCTGATTTAGTAGATTTGAATATGCTCAGTAATGGTTCAAGTACTAGTCAGTTGTTTAACTAGTCCAAAAAAAAGTTGATTTTGTTCCTTTTCTAATGATGGCCTCAACAGTAGTTATCAGCTTGACATATATGAAGATTTTAAATACTTTTACAATAAATAATATGAGACCTAATGCATGGGAAAATATATTTTCTAAATGAAAAGAAAATGTCTAATGAATTGAAAAACTAAATTATTGACATTGGCCTGACCTTACAGTTATTTAGAAAAACCTAGAAAATATAAAAGGCTAATTTCCAACTATAATACCAAGCTATTTGATTTATTTTCATTTCTAGTCCTGCATAATTTGGAAATGTGGTTTGAGACCTCAAGATGTTGATGTTGAAAATGTAAATTATATTTTGTGACCTTTGAATTTTTGCTATGAAATCTCACAATTCAACATTGAGTTCCAATAATGTAATATAATGTAAATATTATTTTTTTAAATCAAGCTTTGTGAAATTCAATTGATTCTTACCCATCAAAGATAGATATTTGTATACCTAGGCCACAAAATACCTATTTTGCTTCCTTATTGAATATGTTCAACTGTTTGAATGTACTGGCCTATTTTAATTAAGTCAATATCGCTCCTGATGACGGTTATGAATCCTTGTATACACATACCTTGTATTTTCACCCCATCTGTGGCAGAGTGAGAGTTACACTAAATTTACTGTTGTGAATTAATTAGAGCAAGAATTGGATATGAATAGTGCCAGGACATGAAAATTACAATCACTTGGTTCTTTCACATTCAATGCAGCATTTTTTGAATTGAAAACTCCTTTGTTTCTTGAGATAAATTGAAAAGTTATAATGGCATCCACAATATCTAAGAATCATTTTATTGTACAACCTATCTTTCTCTTTGATTTATTTTATTTCATTGCAGTTTTCGATTCCTGAATAATAATTGTTATTCCATTACATTGTTCCCATCATTAATATTCATTATGTTTTCCCACTATAAATGAAATCAAAATTCAACAAATATAAATTTATTTTTACAACAATGTATAGGTACCTGAAATAGTGTTTTAATAATTTTGGCTACTTTAGTACTTCCTGTTCTGACAAATAATTGATTTGATAGATCAAAATTTATTCCATATTTCCTGCCTTTACAACTTTGTTATGTTTTTTCTTCAATGAACATTGCAAATTTTTGAATTCATCTACCAACAAACAAGTATAAGCAAATAATAGCGACTTTTATTTTCCTCGAATTGAGTAGGTATTTGTTCAAATTGAACAAATAATATGACGGATATTGCCGTACTTACATGTGTAAATATGTAAAATATAAACTATAATATATGTTAATAAAAAAACACAGTATTTGATTAAATAAATGTATTATTTCTGGAATATATTGTAAATATGATTGTAAATCAACTGAAAAATAAATATTTTTATAATATAAAATCTGGAATTCTCATTAATTACAAAGTCTTTGTTATTGTGTTCTGGCTAGACGAAAATGACTTCTTTGATAAATCATCTTGAAGTTCCTGTAACAAAAAATACTATTAGTAATCGACCTGTGGACAGAGCTGGGCAGTACTTGAGTACAAGTACTCAAATATTGTACTCTGAGTACATTTTGTGTACTCAGTACCCAGTATCCGAGTACATTTTCAATAAAGTACCCGGTACTCGTACCCGTAGCATTTCGGGAAAAGTACTCGGTACCCGCGTTTATTAAACGAGTACATTTTCCGGGTACTTTTTGCAAGAATAAACTTGTCTGTGCATATGCGAGTGCAACACGGGAAACCGCTGTTATATGTTATATCATCATTATCAGTCAGCACTTCAATCAGAACCAAACGCGGAGTTTTTGTTTTGTACACTGTGTAACAGTTATAGAGTCAAGTGTTTTTTGTATCGTTTCTGTTGTTTTCTTAAGACTAAACCACACTAAACTAAGAGGTAAGGGTATAGTATTTTGCAATAATATTTCTCTTATATAGAGATACGTATAGACGTGAACAACGACAAATAAGTAGTTTGATTTTTGCTTTAATTTACGTATTAGTAATGAATAAGAAATGAATGGGTCAATTTTATAATTTGTAAAAGACAATTGTTAAAGTTGTTGATATTATTATTGTTAATAATAACTAATACTGATGCAAAATTTCTCAATTCTCTATTCAAATGTACTTGAAATGAGTACCCGTGAAATTCGGGTACTTGTACTCGGAGTACTTTACTCTGAGTACATCCAATGAGTGGGGTACTCGGTACTCTGTACTCGTTCTTCAATTATAAACAGTACCCGGTACCCGGTACTCGAGTACAATTTATCAGTACCCGGCCCAGCTCTGCCTGTGGATAGATTATTACATAGGGTGTTCCGAAATTGAAAAGATTTCAACCACAGATTCTAGGAACAAAAATAGGAAAAAAGTTCATATAAACATGAACCCAGAGATTGCCTCCTAGGGAGGTAAAGCCATCTGAAAGAGGGCCCGAGGTGATGTTTTTTTGTAAATATATCCGAAACCCTTTGTGTTGAGATAAATAAATTTTGTACATGGTATATTACTTTTCATGTCTGATTTGGAAATGTTGAGAATTCTCCGAACTTTTGACCAGGGGCGTGTTAAATAGGTGGGGCTAGGGACATATCTTTCCTCAACTTTTTTCTATGCAATTCTTGGCAGGTTGACTACGAAATATGAAAATATCAAGTATTGAATTGAAATCTGTCTTCCAATACAGGATCCTCAGCAAACACGTTACATCACATGGCAGTTTCGCGAAGTCCCAAATTGCAAATGGAAATATGTTTTCAGTTTGATTACGCATAATTGTTCTGAACGTGGTTACATTGAGAATTCGCTTTGATAACAAAAAATCTAAGATGCAGTGATTACTATTTCAAGATAATAATAAACAACCACAATGTCATTACCACAAAATGTGTTGAATTTCTAGTTGAAAAGATCGTCATCGAGAAACATCGCAAAGAAGTCTATTCGAGAAAGTCACCATATCAAAAGGAATAAAATGGAGAAGTCTCAGAGAATCCTCGCATGAATGTGCCCAATGTGATTGTAAATACGACATTTATTGTCTCAAAAACTGCCACAGTGACTATACGGATATATGTTTTATTTGGGCTATTTTATCAAATCTCAATTTGAACAACACAATTAATGAAATGCGTACTTGATGTCGCGGACATTTCCCTGCAAATAAGAGCGGGAGGAGATGTTTTTCGTACATCGCGCGCGGATATTAGTTGCAAAATTACTTCCATAGTACTTTACAGTTACTGCCCTGTGTTTGCTGGGAATCCGCTCATACTCACCTTATCTGGGTAATTCAGATAGGGATTCCTGGCTACAACTAGTTCTATCCTATCTCCTGCTGATGCTATAAGGGGCACTGTTAAACAGCAATCAAAGTCTTGGGTTTTTGTGTCGTTCACCTATGGAAGAAAATAAATCGTTGAGTTTTATGACATTCTAATACACAACATTTGGGGGCTTATCTAGTGAAACATCATATTTGATCAACTAATCACTAGGCCGACAACTATCACAATTTAATTGGTTTATTCAGTTTATTCAAATATGCATGGCCTTGAAATTTGAACAATGGAAATGGATTCCGGCATTTCCGGCTAATATCATTTTGACTAGCAGATGGCAATCAAAAAGGTCCATAGTTTTACATGTAAATAAGTTTCTGCCCTGTTAACACAGATTGATCCCAGAGACATTAGAAGGCATCACATATTCATGCGACACATCACATCCGTAATGGGCGTGTACACCTTAGTAGAACTTCTAACTCAAACCATGTTTATAATGATCCTTTTATACATAAATATTTGATTGACGACATGATTCGATCGAAAAATTAACTGGAATGTTTTATTTTTTGACATAAATATGTATATATTATGACGTAGAAACCTCATCTCGCCATAGTTGAAAGAAAATACCAAACGCCCGACGGAGATGATCTCGCGCTGATTCACTCTGTCAGAAATCATGTATCATTCATCTCTGTCTGGAATAGTCTTGTTTCAGTATTAGGGTTTTGACGTCACATCATCGCCTCGTTTTCAGAGATCCGAAAAATCGGGGATCCCAATATTTTTTTATAAAACGTAGGGAGCTCACAGCAAGAAACGGTTTGCGGTTGTGAGTTAGTTTGGGTGAGTTCTATCGAATTATGAAATAAAATTTTGTGATATAAGCCCATTTGAATTGAGAGTGCCACTGATGAAATCATCAGGACTGCTATTCCGGACCCTCTTGGTCATTTTATGATTCACATCATCTCAAGAATGAGAGGTTCCAGTGAGTCTCTTGGTCGTTCGGGAGCACAACATATTCACCTTCATTTCAAGTCTCACATCCAATAAAATGAAAATGAGTCGAATATTGCGAATTTTTTGTAACATAAAGAGTCCTGGCAATACCAATGATATTGTCTGATGATTCGCATTGTTACCTAGCGAGAAAAAATGAATGTAACATCTCAGGAATATGTTTGTGTTTACTGGATCACGGTATCTCATTTATATCGTTTCCATATTCGCCAGACTGGCTCGAAGTTCTTCCGCGCTGAATATTTTGATTTTATTTATCAACATCAGTAAAATCACAAGAATTTTGTACCTAACTAACAAAAAATTGCCAATAAAAGTAGTTTTACGAGATTATAACTGCAAACCTGCAAATATATTATTCGAGACCGTCACCGTCAAATAATGATCTCACCATTTTTATGAACTGTGGCTACGTCGCCTCGGTTTCTATGAGCGACTGGCTCCTGATGAATAGAAATTCGGGAGAAAAAAGGTATCTTAGTCGTCTGATCGCTATATGTTTTTTTCAATGATGCCATTCAATAATGTACATTTTGAGCCCTCATGGGTTCAAATTTGATGTATTTATTTTGATAAACCCCTGTGTCTGCTCTATATTTTGGTTCTTGAAATTTTTTTTTCAATATGACATACAGGGTGGCTGGAATTCCAGCCTCACCATTGGGATCTCGTAAACCGTGAGAGATTCAGGGTCGGCAAAGTTGCACAATTTTTTGCCTAACAAAATGCCATTTTGAAAAATTCCGAACTCCGACTATTTGAATAGAGATGTAACAAAACAGACTACACAATCTTATTGATGCTTTTTCTGTTCTACAAAAGATGGTGTTATTACATTTTCAAACCGACGTTTCGTCTTTGAGCTGCCATCATCAACTTTGTATAATGGAAAATTTAGGGCTGCATTCGAAAAAGAAAACAAAGTTAATGATGGTAGCCCAAAGACGAAACGTCGGTTTGAAAATTTGATCACACCATCTTGTAGAACAAAAAAAAAATGCCAATGAGAATGTGCAATTGGTTTTGTTTAATTGTTTCGTCTTTGAGCTGCCACCATCAACTTTGGTCGTTTTCAAATACTGTTCAAATTTTTTTATTATGGATTTCAAGAGCTTTCAATCTCCTGAAATAAACGGTGTATCGAACTTGTTCGAAGAGGGTATTTTTTCTGTGACGGGAAAAAGTTTGACATTTCATTTCTGTTTATATACAGGTTATAAAATGTCACTTTTCATAAATTACTTCTTTCCCACGGGAAAAAAGTTAGTACTAAATGATAATACCATCAACTTATTTGGTCGTTTTCAAATATTGTTCAAATTTTTTTATTATGGATTTCAAGAGCTTTCAATCTCCTGAAATAAACGGTGTATCGAACTTGTTCGAAGAGGGTGTTTTTTCTGTAACGGGAAAAAGTTTGACATTTCATTTCTGTTTATATACAGGTTATAAAATGTCACTTTTCATAAATTACTTCGTTCCCACTGGACAAAAGTTAGTACTAATTGATATAAAAAAGACGCTGCAAACACGAATGCCAACATGAACAACAAAATCGGAAAGAAATCAGGATACATATCGTATTATGACGTTAGCATGAGACGTGAGACGTTGTTGTGGGGCAAACAAAGAAATGGCACAGAAGAACAAAAACAATACTTTCAATATACCCTACTTGAAGACCTCTTTGGGAATGCATATCACGTCTCAAAAAAACTTCCTGATGCCTACATTTTAAAAACATCCCAGAACATTCCAGGGATACCTCAGTAGGCACACAAAGATATGCCATCGAATAACAAAAAAAAACTTCAATATCCTTCGAAGGCCTCTTTGGGAAGTGCATATGTTACGTCTCAAAAAAATATCTTCATGCCAACATTTTCAAAACATCCCTGGGATGTGTGTGCTCGCTGGGATTGATTTCGGGAGGATGTAATTCAATGTTATTTTGCGTGGCATTTCATGTCACAAAAAAACTTCCTGTTGTCTAAATTTTGAAAACATTCCAGGGATACCTCTCAGTACGCGTACACAAAGAAATGCCACAGAATAACAAAAAAAATACTTCAATATCCTTCGAAGCAGGCCTCTCTTTGGGAAGTGCATATGCCGTCCCAAAAAAATATCTCCATTCCAACATTATTCAAAACATTTCAAAACATCCCAGGGATGTTTGAGCTCGCTGGGATAAATTTCGGGAGGATGTAATTCAATGTTTTGCGTGGCATATATTATAGCCAGGCAATAGTTGTTCTTCTCTCGTTATCTACCATTCTGGTTCATTTTATGAACTATATTGTAGTAATGACTTTGAATTTGTCCCTCATTGTTATGATCCAGATTATTTTCGCCAGAAAGCCTTATCTCGACATGACAATGACCATACCATTCGCTTCATCTATTATTACCTGTATAATGCGGTCGTATGGCTTCAATAATCCGACAATATCGGCCGGACCACCTTTCCTGATCCTATTAACGTACACCCCTTTCTCGTAGAGGCCGTCGCTCACGCTGAATCCGTAGTCGTCGTAGATGGAGTCCTTGTAGAGGGTCACGTGGTAAATCTCGTTGTCCAACATGCTCTCGTTGCTGTAAGTTCCCGGCAACCTAAAGGTTGGCTAGTTTAATAATCGGTATCTTCTTTACAAAGTTAGTTGAGATACCTAATTCCGTTTCGAATGAAGAGAAGCCGTCGTATTTCATTGGTTACCCCCAATGTTCAGACTTTTTGAGGCATTGCGGTATGGTAATGCGTTTTGGAGCAAGGTTTTTTACGAATTATTGGTTTTATTCAGAATTAATGAAATTTATTATTTCATTCATATAGTGTTTCTCTATTCTGATTCGCAATTGAAATATGATGGCGTTTTGGGAAGCCTTTCGAGGAAGCCAACAAAGTTAGTGATTGTGATTCAGACCTAGAGCATGCGGAATTCGCCCAAAAAGACTAAGTTCGAACTCAAAGGGAGATTTTGAACATCTATTCGTGTCTCAAGTACGAGAATAATGGTTCTTCGGAAACCCAACTCATGAAGAAAATTCAGACCCAGGCAACCAGATAACGAATGATCACGTCACTGTGACGTCCCTGATTGGTGATTTTTGGTCAGAGACGTCACACACCAATTTATGACGTCACTATGACGTACTTTCTATGACGTGATAATCACGTCATCTTTTCGACGTCGGGTGAACGTCACTTAGATGGGTAAAATAAGACGTCAGTTTCATTACGTTCTCTAAACCATGGATACTTATATATTATCATGTGACAATAATATAACTCAAGCGAATCAACATGCAAGTTTTATTCTAATTATTAATAAACCCGAAAAGTAGTAGAAAAACTTTTTTCTAAAAAACTGACACACTGTATATCTCGAAAACCAACAAGCTATGTATATATAAAAATGATTGTTTAGGTATTCCAATATTGAAACCGTTACTCTTATGACGTTGCAGTGACGTATCTATGACGTCTAAAATCACGTCAGTGTGACGTACCAATTTGGTGAGCTTCGTCATTTAGGAAATTTTTCAATAATTTACTATATAGATTTTTGTTGGGTGACAAAGAATGCATCAATAGACATTATTCAACAAAGTGAAGCCAAATTCGCCAACATCCTTTCCATTGCTATCAAACTATATTCTTTGTTTGCTTACATCTCGCCGACACAAACTACATAATTTTTTATACAAATACAGGTAACTGATTGCATTCTGATGGAGATGCGTACTGAAGGATGGCGCTGCTGATAATAGGCGATTGAATGAACATGAAACAGGAGGAACCCACCAAGCAGACTCAACAATACATAGTCAATATTATATAATGTCATCAGAGGCTAGTGGTGTTGATCACACCATGTTAAAGGAACTTTTTTTACGTATCATCGCCAAATTCAATCGTCATTTTGACGTCATTATGACGTCAGTCGGACGTCACATTTTGGTGAGTGAATGACGTCAATACGACGTGGGTAATATGACGTCATTGGGCTGTGACTTATTCACGTCATTATCACGTCAATGCGACGTCAACTACTGATGTCACCTTGGTCATTCAAGTGACGTAAAAAAGACGTCACTGGAACGTCATCTGGTTGCCTGGGAAACTGCCTAAAATCAGCATTGCTACCATTTTCAGAGTCTATTTGAAATGGATATGTTGTGGATCATATGGTGTTAAACGAATACAACGGATTATCGTTACACAGGGTTTTTCTTGGGGAGCGATGTGTGCTCTGGGGTAGAAACCCAAACCGATCGTGAATACACAACAACCTATGATTTGAAATTGGAGTGATTCTTGGAATGGGTAATAGAAGACAAAAAACAAAACGAAAAGAAAGAAAAAACATTTTCGCGAAAAAAGTCTCGAATTATTCCGGTGAAAATAACGATGAACATCCAACCTAACATAAGCCTACAGATCTCTTGTTATTCAGTTACTTGTCCACAAAATAACATTCACATTTTGGGCTTCTCCGCAATCAGAATTCTATATGCCACAAATTGGCTGTGCCAGATTCAGTATATGAAAAAAAAATGTCTGGAAAACGTATAATTCAGGTTCTTTTTTGAAAGGATTGAACTGTGATTTCGCAGAGTTATGTATCCTCACCATTCGCCATTTCGTTCATTTATCCGGGTTTGGTACTGATGACATATAGGTAACTATCTACTATCTAGACCGCTATAAGTCATATCCTAGAGCACCCTAAAATTCTTGATCAAATTGTTCTCGCCTGAAAACGCTTCTGCTCTATGCGCAAGAACTCCCAAACTGTCGTTGATGACATATCGAGTCATGTTTCTTGGTATTCGCAACCATAAGTGAGAGTGAGTGAGATATATGACACGTCCTGAATGCACACGTTTCATTGAACAAGGTTGTAAATGAATGAGCATTGATCTTATGGCATTAGCGGTGTAGTCTAGTTAGTAATGTATCGATCGGTGGTGTCAATCTTTTGTTATACAGTCTGATGAATAGACTCACCTATCTATGAAGCTACTGGGCGATTGTGCAAAACTGTTTTCGTACTTCATGGTATTCGTGAAACTGTAGTTGGGCAATGGTAGAGGGCTAGGGCAAAATATATCCTCGGTATCGGAATAATACTGGAGTTGAGAATCTCGTTTCTTGTGTTTCGTTGATGTGGAATCCTTGTCATGTTCTTGATATGAGATGGGTTCACTGAGGATGCTTTCGATGTCTTTTATCTCGTGGATATCTGGAATAAACGAGGAAACAACATTTATACTTACAATAATATTAATGAATATTCATTAGTTGTTTTCATCCTCTGAGATCTAGAGATATCTGAGAGATAAGATTTGAAGCCCTGGCGTCATTTTGAAAAATAAACATAATAGTATATGAACTACCATTCGTGGAAAAATATTATTTGGTGTGAATTGATAATACTCCGCAACTCCAACAAATCTATTACCTGTATGAAGGAAATATTATCCAGTTGTAGGAGAGCAATAAATCATGATTAACGAATTTTTATATTCAGACACTTTTTGTTATTTCCAGATGTACTTCGAGACAGGGCAGCTCAGAGCCCTTTGGCCACCTTATTGTTGCGAAGATATATGATTTGACATTCGTGAAATGTAATGAAACGGAAGGAATCGATAATGTTTATATTGTTGAAACGAAGAGATTCATAGAATTCAAAAAAAAAATAACGAAACAATGAGGTAACAAAAAAATATAAAAACAATCAGAAGGAACTAATAAATATATTGACATAATATACCTGTCGATATTTTCGAGAAAATAAACTTTCAAAATGAAAGAACTTTGAAAACGGCGATAATAACTTTCACATTTTGTACCTATTTCAGGTGAGTATATAACCTTATATACTTTTCGAGTCCTCATATTGGCGAAGTCATCGATAATTTGGTCAAAATTACTTCTTCGAGCTGAATCACTGCTCTCTATTAATTGCTAGAGTACCCAGACATGTTAGCCGCTCTCGATGCATTATTGATCCAAGAATATTCTTCATTCTTGCCAAGATGCTAAATGATCGTTCTCCTTCTGCAACAGTCACGGGAATGGTACAAAATATCCTTAGAGCAACCATCACGTTAGGAAAGATCATTTCAATCTTGAGTTCTACAATTTTATTCAGTATTTGAATGGGTCTATGTCTCTATTTGAAAACAAATCAGAATAATGTATCGCTCTCAAGTGTAAAAGTTGTTCTGGAAGTTCAGGACTCATATCGACGTCATATTTTTTAACTAAATAAACTGCTCGTTTCTTCAAGTCTTCAGCAGAAATGTCTTGTTATGATATTGCCATATAATACTGAATAGATCGCAAATCATATATGAAGTGATTCATATCGTTTCTTCAAATTTCCAAGTAACGTGTCTATGAGAACATAGAAAGTTTGAATTTTAAAAGGTTCTTCTTCATTTGGAAAAGCGAAGTCTTCAGAATTTTCGCCAGGTAATCGCTTCCGAAGTCTTTGTCTTTATTGTGGAAATACGGAGTGAATACCAATGTTTCCACCTACAATTTTGGCTTCAGAGATGATTTCCTTTCATTTTGTTCTCGAATCTTCCAGATCATCTACTAAGCTATCAATATTTTCGAGTTCTATACCGATAGTGGCATCTCTCGCTTGAAGGACTTTATTTCGATAGTCTATTGCTGTGAGTACTTTGACCCAAATACTGGCCATAAGTATACATTGAAAGCTGTTTAGATATTCTTGTATCCCGTTCACCTCGCCACGTATTTCAGGGGTGAGATTGGTAATCAGAAATGTTTTAACAGCTTTAATCAACCCTGAGAGGTGACGGGAAAAAGGTTTGACAGTGCAAAGAAACATCCAATACATTTTTGTAATATTTCCCACCTATGAGGACTTTTTTTTATATTCTGGTTCCCACGAAAAGGGATATCCTGTAATGTACAGAGAACATCGTGAGAACCAAGAAAAATCAGTGTATAAACGTTGCCGCCGACTGCGCACACTCGCTGCTGGGTGCTGGGTCCCATGTGCATTTTCGCATTCCGTTGAGAGTCGCGTTATATTAAAAAGACAGAGCTGGTCTGGCTTCGGGCCCCTCGGGGGCCCGGGCCCTGGTAATTTGTCCCGGCTGACCTTCCCTCTACACGGCCCTGCTTCGAGATCTGGCAACTATATGTGTTTCACTTACTGAGTGGTGATATCATCAGTAGGTAGTTATAAGAGGCAAATTTCGACCGTTAGAATGAGACTGACTTCATTTGTAATTCAAATACCTTGAAACCACCCAGAAAAATTTTGAGAAAATAGAAGTATTAGTTGGGGGGATTAGGGATGAAAATCGGTAAACTAGTCCCATTCTCTTCAGAAATTATTTCCGCTCATGATAGCCTCTGTTAGTTCATCCAGAGAAGAATAAGAATGATATCTAGAGATGTCCTTGTTCAGTCGACACAGAGATAAAAGAAACTTGTCGTATAAGGTTTAAAAACTTCTTGTTATGTATGTACATATCCATATATTTCTAGTGAGCAAGAAATGATATCTCACCTGTTCCATTATCATTTGTGTTTTCTCCAGTATTACTGTCCCAGGAATGTATCGCACTGTCGACGCTCATGAGTCCTGGACTAGAATAATTACATCTAGAATCCTCAATTGGTGTACCTAAAAAAACACAGATTTTCCATTTTTTCATGTTTCAATGATTCCAAATAATGAATGTAGAAGCGGTGGTCAAACTTCCTACCCGTCCTACCTGTCTGACCATAACCAACAAAATCCAAAGTTAAGCTTCTATACTTTCTGATCTTTCGAATCAAGAAGTTATGTCAATTATTTTTATTTATAAACCTTCCCAACGTGTTATAGCACTTCAACCCTTTTTGGATCATCAACAGAAAAAATATCCTAATTTCTACATAAAGAAGACCTGCGATTTGCTCTCAAAACTCATTTAGGTATCACCATGCAATTAGCTTATAAAAATATATTTTCGTGTTCCTGAAGAATATCGAATGATTTTCAGTCCGTGCAATTTCAATATTCTGCCACTCCCAAATAAGGGCACATCCTGAAGACGACCCTGCGCATACATAACGATTCAATAGCAAAATAATCCACTTTACAAATTTATGACGGCTTCACAAATTGCCTTCTGGCAGTTTTTAACGATCCTTATAGAAATCTTGAAACGATAAAGAGTGAAATTCTCATCGGAAGGGTTGAGGATTTGGACTTAAATTGGAACATAAAAATAAGAGCCTCGTAAACTTTAAATTTAAGTAGACATCAACTGGTCCCGAGTATCTTTACAATAGTGAAACTACATTTTTAGTGCCCATCAGTGAGAACTTACTAGATATTTACGGAATTCAAAAAATCAGGAGCCCATAGTGAGTAAAGTGCGATAAAGTGGAATAAATAAGGGAGGTCGTTTGAAGAGAAAATATTCGAATGACCAAAATATCACTCACAAATAACGTCATAACTCATGGCGTATTGAGGTTTTAATGACGTCTCTATACAAAGTCATAATAGATAGATCAATTTATTCGAGGGTTTATGATGGTGTATTTTGTGTCTATACTACCCGAGATTTTTTTGTTTATTGCATCCTCTGTAGGACATTCTGAGACGTCATTATGACGTATAAATATGACGTCTTGTGGCTTCAATATTTCGAAGCCATTTTATACATGTTCATATAAACTTTGAAAGTTAACTGTCACCATATGTGACGCAAATAAGTATTTTCAAATGCAACGCATAGTCCAATAAATGAAGGAGGAAAAAAAGGCAAAGTTAACGTTAATTACGCACCATTTTCATCTTCCGGTTGAAAGTAGCTTTCGGTACCTCATCAAACATGAGACAAAGTTTGACTGGAAAACGCGTGCGATGGCGGAGAAAATGGCCCCAAAAGACCAGAAAAATAGGTTTTCAGCCAATATCTCCTAAAATATGGCAGTTAGAGATTTTCGGTTCAGATAAAAATTGAAGTTCAGTTAATTTTCTACCCGATTTCGAGAAAAACGGCACGAAGCGCACCTCGAATAATGAGCACAGTCCGTGTATTTACACATCGGCGGGGGGACAAATTATTCAATAACTTTGTTAAAAATGCATATTTTCTCATGATTCAAAGTTCATGTGAAAGAGGAATTCTGCTGCTATCATACCCTGTGAATTGAGTCACGCTTGACTCTTTTGGCCATATCGGAATATGGGTCAAACTTTCTGCTCCCGGTCAATTTTGACCTCGCCATGAATTTGTTCCTATTTTTTTTGTATTGCACTAATTTACTCAAAATTCTCTTGATTATGGGTCCTCATAAGGTCCTTTGTCATGCTTTATATAAATATATATCCATTTTTTGTATGTTCATAATTTATCTGAGAATATTCCTTTTCAATATTTTCTTTTTGATTCTAATTGGGTTTTATAGGTCTAACTGTTATTCTTCTCGAAATATTATTGGGCACTGAACATGATTGAGGTTGATTCCCAACCTGTACGCATGAAATGCATGAATGATGTTTGATGTTTGAAAGTTTGGCTTATTATTTTGTGGAATTCGAAAAGAATTGATAGTGTTACCTTTCAAGTGTCGTGCTATTTTGAGTTGTACTCGATCGCCACTACTCTGCAACAACCTTATCGCATCTGATAGAGGCCTGTGCTCCAAATTTTCTCCATTAATTGCTAATATCCTATCACCTACATGTAAAGCACCAGTTTTCGCTGCTAGTCCCCCTGAAATGATACGACAAACACTCAGGACAACGTATACTTATTGATCATGATAACGTGATTACAACTTTGGAATTATATCCTGATTGGTTGGATCCATAATAATAGATATACCCGCAAGAAATCAGTATCAACCTTGAAATAATTGAGAATAGGATGAAGAACCTTCATCAAACCCCTCTATATGGTCTAGAAATAAGAAGAAGGATTAGTACGTTGATTTCCTGATAGGACAAAGTGTTCTGAGAATACCCCAAACATTTTCCGAGGGAATATTTCAAAGTTATTCTCTAAAACTACTTTATAGATGATCTTTGGTAGAAGTTTTAGACGATTCAGGACTCTCGCTGTAATATGTTGAACTTCTGCATACTTCGCAAAAACTACTCTTCAGGAAATGGAGAGGACATATAATCTCATGGGTAGAATGATTTTATGATTTCATTACGAATTAGTTAATAATTTAGTTTTGCTCATAGTAAGAGAGCCGGCTGCAAATATCGACCGTCATCTAATAACAAAATGATATATGTTCCAAAGTCACGTGAAAACATTGTATTTTATGGAACGGTACCTGTGCAAATCACTATCCTGAGCAAAATGATTGAAAAATGGCACTCTCCTGCGCGGTAATTTGTAGTCAATTTCGTGATTTTATAACGAGATGAGAATTATACATTCCGATACCAATGAAAATAGTAGATCTCATCAACCCCACAATCTGAGCCAAATCTATGGCGATTTATTTGCTGCTATTATTCCAGACTCACTTCCATCATGTGATAACGAGTTGAAACAAAAAGCAAATAAAAGAGGATAATGTACAAACGTGTCGCGACTCGAACTAATTTAAGTTAGTGACAGAGTGTCAATATTACCGAGAATATTTCGGCCCGGTCTAAAGATAATATCTGATGGACCAGTATAAAACTCATGTGGTGCTCGCACTACCAGTATTTTAATTCACATGTTGAGTTCACAAAGTTGGTTGTAATCTGCCAAATGCGTCCACAGCGTTATTACGTATATTTGACGTTTTACTGTCACATATATACATTGGAAACACCGAACGTAATAGGCCAAATAGTGTCAAGAGTCAAGTTCGGAGTTATCGATAAGCCAAACATGACTTTAGCTTCTGATTGGTTGACTTGAAAACTGCGTGAAATAGTCAGTCTATAGTAACATCCCAGATAACACCGATTTACTTGAGAAATGGCGGCCGAGTATTGAAATATAAGACACTTGGAACGAGTGCTCTAGCAGTACTTCATAAATGACGGTTAAATCGCACTTTCGCATTTATAGTTTGTAGTTCGCGGTCAGACACTTGGAAAGTACTCGAAAAACTCATCTTTCTTGATACGGAGTTGCAAGCGCATATACGTTGTCGGCTGTAGCAGTTCTAATGTGGGCCTATTTCTGCATCATTGTCTTAGTCTTAGTCACAGTCTTTGTTTTAATCATGAAATCAAATTGTGAGCAGACATTTCAATAGGTGGATTCATGCAACATTTTTAGTCTCAGTCTTAATCATAATCATTAAATCATGACCTTGAATTTTTATGCTCATGGCGATTGAGACCACATAAGCAATGCAATTGACTCCACTGAAGTCGTTAAGAAACCTTATGTTTTTCTTTTTCTGTTAATGGGACGAACTCCGAATCTCTCGACTTTCTTTCTTTTTTGCATCAAGCAAACCAATGATTGAATCTCTATCTACTTCCATCTTCGAATACGTGAGAGAATTTTACGAAGAAAAACAATAAACTCAAATAATCCTCCAAATTAGCTCTGAAACCTGCTCCAAAACGGAATATCAGAATTGGCGGTTGACTTTATTGACACCTCAGTTGACACTTTCGACGGATTTTCAATTGTCAAATCATAATTCTTGAGCCTTTAAGACTGTGATGCATAAAGTTCAAAATATGATGACATTAATATTCTATCCACCTTGGTTATGACTATGATTGAGACAATGACCAAGACATTGATGCATAAATAGGCCATATGTCAATAATTCAATCGCCGGTAATGTGTATTAGGGCCGGCTGGCGGCCGCCTGCACACCTCGCCGCCAGGAAATTACATAAACGGCCGCGAGAGGTGTGTCCGTTACAAATGCTGGGCCAATGGTTGGTGTTACCTGGGTTATCAACAAAGTGATGTAAAGTGAATGAAGAACGCTCGAAGTGAAGTAATCGAAAGTGCAATGAAATAATCCTCACCTTCGGTTAACCTCGACAGAACGATCGGATCCAAACAATCCTCGCTCCCCGAAATAGTGATCCCCAGCGCCCCGCCACCCCGGTGCAACGCCACCGTGTACACCACCCCGTCCAAGAACGGATCCGCGTTCTCAGCCTCCGTCTTCTCCACCTTAAGCGTCACGACATCGCCGTGCGACGCCTGCAGGACGTCGAAGGCGGCGTCGACGGTGAGGTGGTCGAGCGGGTGGTGGTCGATGGCGAGGAGGCGGTCGCCGGCGTGCAGGGTACCGGTACGATGCGCAGTGGAGCCGCGCCGGATCTCCGAGATGACGAAAGGCTCGTCGGGCCGGGTCTTGGATGCTGCAAACATAATAGGTTATCTATACCGATTCTAGACCACACTGTATAACTTATTGAAGCTTGTCTACGTCAAATGTCAACGTACATGTTTTCGGAACGTAGAAACAGCGTTAAAAGTAGTTAAACAGCATCTTCAATAGAACCAGATCGCCAACTTTTCTACGGTGTTCCAGAGAAGTGAGTGAGTTTGTGAGCGAGGCATCACCCACGAGACTGTGTGAAGAAGAAGCATCCGTGATAACAAAGGCTCCTATGCCGATTTTAAACCACACAGTATAAATTGAAGTAACTCAAGGTAACAATAGGTTCGTCGGAGCGTGTCTCCGGCGCTGCAAACATGAATAGTGAAATAATTTCGATTCTGGACCGCTCTGTTAAACCTCAACGTAACTCGAACACACATGTTTCAAGAATGTCGAAAAAGCATTGAGACTGTCAGAACAGCATCTATTGAGCGTGAAGAAGCATCCAAGAGCAGGAACAAAGAAAAAAAGTCTCCTTGCGATAAAAACTTGGGTTGTGCACTTCCTATGACAATTGTATAACTTAACGTAGCTAGAAAAGATGAAAGGCTGATCGAAACGGGTCTTAGACGATGGAAATCGTCGGAATCGAATGCTGATCTTATACCAACCTCAACGTAACCGGATCACATATGTTTCAATATCTCTGAAAAACGAAAACGTTCGATCACTCATGTTTTCTGAGCATCCAGAGAGTGTTTACAATGGTGCAACAGCATCTGAAAAGTGCGAAGAAACATCCAAGAACATGATCACGAAAGGCTAGTCGGGGCAGATATTTCGACCTTAGAAATGTGAGTAGGGTACCTCAATATATTCTTAACCATACTTTATAACTTAACGTAACTCGAGATGACGACAGGTTCGTCATAACTGGTCCACACGGATTCTAGATTACACTGAATAACTTGACTTCAAGGAGAGTAGTGTACACCTCAATGTAACCCGATCACACATTTCCCAAGATCGTCGAAAAATCGTGAAACATGATCGAAAGGGCGAAAAGGAGGGTCAAAAGAGCATGGAATGAGTATCATTTATGTACCTCCGAGATAACGAAAGGCTCGTCGGGGCAGGTCCTCGATGCTGGGAACGTAAGTAGTGCAATCATACAGATTCTCGACCACCGCCATGTCAAGCTTCAAAATGCCTTGATCAAACATATTTTAAGATCGGCGTAAGTGCGTGGAAAGCGAGCATCTATAAAGCGGGAGATCTCGTTGAGACGGGTCTTCTGCGCTGAAAACGTGGGTAGTGCATCTATACCGATTCTAGACCCCACGCTATAACATAATGTATCTAGGGATAACGAAAGGTTCGTCGGAGCGAGTCTTGGACTCTGGAATCGTAAGTAGTGCACTAATGCAAATTCTAGACCACTCAATAACGTACCCTCATCATTCGTGATGACGCAGTTCTCGTCAATACGGGTCTTTGACTTTCGAAACATGAGTAGTGCACCTAATTCTGATTTTGGACCATTCTATCAAGCTCGACGTACCTCTTGTATACATTTCTAGAGCACATCTGAGGAACGCAATATAGTGTGAAAAAAGCAACAATGAACCATGAAAAGCGCCGACAGAGCATGGAAAAAGTGTCATGTATCTCGGAGATGGCAAGGGGTTCATCGGGACGAATCATTAACGTTGAAAACGTGAGTATTGCATCAATACCAATTCTGGTGCACTATGTTCAACTTAGCGAAACTTGTTCACACATGCTTCAAGAGTATCAAAAGAGCCTCAAGGAGTATGGACAAAGTGTTGAGGGCATCGACAGAGCATGAACAGAGCGTCATACATCTCCGAAATGGAAAAGGTCTTGGTGAGAAGGGTGCATTTCATGAAAGCGGAATCTGGCAACGCAGCCCTGCCCTCAAAGCTTTTCACAATCTGTAACCATCTGATATCAACACGTGAATACAACACCAGAACTCCACACCACCTTGCCAAACAAATTGGTTGGTAAGTTCACAATTGGCAGTGTCAGCATTTTGTTATCAGTGGCGTACGATATCTCAATTGGAAAGTATATAAAATATAGAATATCAATAATAAAATAATACACGATCTTGAGTGATGCTACATCACCACATGCAATATCAATCAACCGCTACACTTGAAAAAATTATCAATGAGAATTATTAAGTTTGCAGAGCTGAGTTCTCTTCAGTCTTTGGATAAATATTCCCTCACCTGTGATCGTGACCCCCAACCCTGCTCCCCTCCTCGCCAGCTTGACGGTGAATATGCCCGTGGAGGGCACGATGGCGTCCGCCACGTCGAACTCCACCTGCAGCGTGACCTTACCGGTGGCGTTGGGCTCGTTACCCAGCTCCAGGATCGAGTTGATCTCCTGCAGCGTCAGGTTCGGCTGGTGGTTGACGGATATGAGCCGGTCTCCCACTTGCAGGCAGCCACACCTGAAAATCAAAAAACGATCATGCGGTTTCAAAATGGAGAAGCTTACATAAATAAATAGAGTTGACATTACCACTATCTAGATTCTAGAACGTTTTATGTCATATCCAGCAACCCGAAAATCTCGGTCAAATTGCTCGCCTGAAAACGTTTCTGCTCAATGCGCGGGAACTCCCAAACTGTCAGTCATGGCATCGAAGCATGTCTCGTGGTGTTCGGGAACATAATTGAGAGTTAGGACCGTGTGACAGTTGATACATTTTTATGTCAAATGTTATGGAGAATTGTATGTTTAATTATATATCAGGTGTCATACAGCATTTTGTTATGAAATTTTATACAAAAAATGATACATGTTTCAGAAATGGAACAAGTTCTATTTTGTTGAAATTGTAAATATAATTTTTTCTACTACTGTCAAGAAACCTGCACTTTTTCAATATATTTGTGTGCCTGAAGTGTGCAATTTATCAATATCAAAATTCTGTTTCATTATTTTACGGAAAAGTGTGACAAAAGTACCCATGGCTGCAAAATGGTCGTTTTCGCTAGCCACACACCACCTACTTCGGTTTTCCGTCATTTTTATTCGAACAGACTTGTTCGTCAAAAAAAAAGCCTACGAACAACGCAGTCTATGGGCTTCTTCACACGGGATGCAGCAAGATAGGAAGCGAACAAATCACGGCGCTGACTTCGTATTTCGTATGGACAGCCAGTGACATAGAGATGGGAACGGAAAGAATAAGGCGCCACGATATCCTCGCGTATTAGATAATAATATGCTCGCATCTTATGTATCATCTCATGAGCATCGCTGAACGCGAGCGAGATAAGCAATTTATTCAAATTAGCCGTAGTTGGTGCTGGCTATTTCGTCCTTAGAAATCAGGTTTTCTTCTTTTTTGACAGTTGTATATAGGAAAAATATTGTATGTATCACGTGCGTGCGTATTTTTTATACATAGAACATTTCCTACTCGTGAAAAAAAGTACCAGTTTGACATGCCTGACTTCTTAGTTTCCTATTTCATTATTTGTTAGGTCAATGTTTCGGTACCGTCAGGTAGTACCACGTTTGTTGGTCTGCCTCTTAATAAAATCCCTTTCATACGATAAACAAAAATAATTTCAATGCCAAAATAGCCAAACCATCAATACAAAACCACTGCAGCAGCAGAAGTTGTTACTATGGTGGTGAATATCTGTTTGCGTATATTCAGGAGAATCTTGAGTGAGGAATGAGCACATTACAGAATTATAGATTACAGAAAAACCACCTTGTGGTCTATATATTATGACAGTTTATAAAGCAAATAACTTTCAAAAACCAATGGAATCTTATCAAAGTATATACATTTCCATATGAAAATTTCGTCTTGTTGAATTCGATATGGAATTCAAAATAACATTTTATTTATTTTATTTTATAAGATATATGGCAGGTCCGAACCAAGTTCGATCTTGTGAATGAATGACAGCTTTGATTTCATGTCATCAGCGGTCTACTTAGTAACTTGTCGGTAGGAAAAGGAAGGATAATGCCGTCCCCTGGAGAGGACGTACAGTCGGCGGTCCCAAGGTCAATGATGTTGGATTCGTTGAGGATTCCTACTTTCTGGTTAGGATATCAGAGGGACACTTGACATTTGACAGCAATACTTATTACTCCATATGAAATCTGATTGATCAATTTCAACGACTCAGTTTCGTAGAACTAATAGTAGAAGATATTATATCATCTGTCAATTGCCAAAATGATGTGAATGCCAAACATGTTAAGAGGAGGCACAATAGATCTATTCGACAAAAGGGTATTCATTCATTATATACATACATACATATTTATATACTCCATTCTTTAGTTTTTGTCACATCTCATCAGTTTTTTACCTGTAAGCTGGTGAATCAGGAACGATCCTTGAAATTAGAATATCAGCCGATCTGTTTTCCGTATGGTCTCCGACAGACACAGCCAGGCCATATCCGTATCCCCTTTCCGACGTCAATGTTATGTTTAGGGACTCTGGATGGGACACTCCCCTATTGTTCGGACATCCGCAGTAACTGTTGAGGCCTAAAAAATAACAGGGGTCACAGATTAATCATATTTCAATAACCAATATTCGAGAATTCGGACAAATTATGCTCGAAACTTATTTCTCATTGAGATATAAGGCGTTGGAGTTTTACAAAGATACGGAGAAGGTCATTATAATATGTATGAATATCATATGATGGACCTACAGAGTTGTACATGTTTTGAGTACTGTTAATACATCAAAATCGACAGGCCTTTCTTCTGACCAGATCTGAATACATTTTTTCTTAATTCTCCTATTTATTATCTGACTTTCGGGGCGTTCTGAAAACTCACTTCCCGATACCCTGATTAATAATTTTTGATAAAATTAATTCGATGTGTCTCCATTGCGAGCCCAAATGTTGACACAAATCCTTCAACATTATTGTATTTATGCAAAAACAGCAACACCATATCATTGACTATATTTATAATCAATGATCATAATTATGTATAATTCGAAACATAAATGACCAACAAAATAACTTCTCCTTGTTAACAAAATGATAAACGTTTTAACTCAATCGAGAACAGAGCATCAGAAATTAATTTTCAATGAATACTCACTTACTACATCTTCATCATTAGTCGCAGAGCTGGCTGTTGGAAATGATAATGAATATAGCAGAGAATTATTTCATGGAAGAAGAACTAGAAATAAACGGAATCTCTCAATTATATAGGAATTTCGTTTTGAGCGGAATGTTTGGACTTATGAAAGGAAAAATCTGCTTCTTGAGTCAGTCGTAGGAACGGGAAATCAAATACCATCTTGACAACAGATTTTGAATTGTGAAGATTTCCTGAATGTTTGAATTTATACAATTTGGAATATTTTTTTTTACATTTTGGATTATATTTTCTATTGAAAATGTAAAATCGAAATTTTTATTATACTACGGATTTTTCAAACTGAAGATGAAGAAAATCACCTATGAGATCTCGAGATACTTAATAATAATAATAATAATAATACATTTATTGTTCATCATATGTGGATATACATCATATAGATATTGCAAATATACATTTCGATAAACAATTGGCATGTAGGTTCAGAATGTGGAACGCATCCACTTCTGTTCTTCCACCAATGCCATTCGGATGAAGAATAAAAATGAAATCAGTTGGCAAGTATATCATTGGTATATAAAAGGAGGAAAAAGAAAGCAGAAAAGAACAAAGAAGAGAGAAGGAGATGGAGGAAAGAGGAAGAAGAGAAATAAGAGTAACTTTCGGCTATTGAGTGTCTAGAAGAATACTTTTATATTTGATCTTGAATGAGGTTCGTGATCTATTGAGGAGAGAGGGGTCTATGTTGTACAGAGTGTTAATACTCGATGCAATATTATAGGAAAAAGACCGTTCAAATATAGTTTTGGAGTGACTTGGAATTGTTAAAATGGTTTGACGCCTTATATTCAGGTTATGCACATCCGTTCGGTACGACACTTTTTCGAATAAATAGGGCGGAGTTTTGGTAAGAATCAAATTGTGATAGAAACAACCCATGTGATGAAGCCTTCTGTTTTTCATATTGAGCCAATTCAACTCCTTCAGTTTATGAGAAACTCCCTCCCGTTTTTTTATACCATAAATAAGCCGAATACAACAGTTCTGGACCTTTTGAACTCGACGAATATCAGTATTATCTAGACAAGGTCCATATACAATGTCACAGTGATTGAACTGCGACAGTATTAATGTATCACATAAATTTTTTTTAGTTTTTAATGAAAGGAAATGTCTCTGTGGATATAATAATTTCAGGGCTGAGTAAGAATTTCTCAATTTCGAAGTGATATGTTCCTTGAAGCGCATTTTAGAGTCAACCATTAGACCAAGATTCTTGCAAGCAGATTTGAAGGGTATTGTTGTTCCATCAATTTCAAGTATCATGTTATTTCTTATTTGATCTTGATAATTATCATTGCAAAATATCATTGCTGAAGATTTGTTGGGATTGATTTTCAATGAATGCTGTGAGGAAATTCGGAAAATTGCATCTAGATCACTATTTATTGCAAATCGTGCTTCATCTAGCTTAGACGGTTCAAACGAGTAGTACAGCTGAGTATCGTCAGCATAGAAGTGATAGTTACAGTGTTTTATCGCGTCAGTGAAATTGGCAGTATAGCATGTGAATAGAAGTGGCCCCAAAATGCTTTCTTGTGGAACTCCTGATTTCACTACTAATGGGGTTGAGGTAATATTATCAAGTTCGACTGTTTGAGTCCTTTCATTTAGATAAGATGATAACAATGTGCATGCCTCTTTACTGAACCCAAAAAATTCAAGTTTAGCTAATAGAATCTTATGATTAATCATATCGAACGCCTTCGAATAGTCAAGACAAACGAGAACAGTAATCTTACCCTTATCGGTTGCTTTAATCACATCATCAATAACGTTTGCTAAAGCTGAAGCACAGCTGAAACCACTTCTGAATCCTGATTGCTTAGAGGGCAATATTGAGTTATCATTCAAATATTTTGTCATTTGCATTTCTAATATTTTTTCAAAAATGTTTGATAAAGTTGGTAAAACGCTTATGGACCGGAGGTCATCATAACTTGTTGGGTGTGTTACTTTCGGAATCGGAACCACTTTAGCATTCTTCCAGGTTGAGGGAAAATATCTCTGCCGAATACATTCATTCATAGATTTGGAAAATATTTTCAATGGTTTTCACCCTGTATAAAAAAAAAATATATCATCGAAACCAGCACTACCAACTATAAAAAATTAAAAATTTTGATAATCGCTCGCTGAGCTGAAGCATAAATCATGGTATTTCCGCATTACGAACCATTTTATCTTCAAACGAATAGATCTACTTTCGATTCTGGTCAAAATTGATCGGTATGTTGTTGAGACTGACTGTAAGTCACTAATCGAATTGTATCTTGTAATAAAGCTTATCAGGTTGATTATTGACGAATAATACTTTCCATCGAACCATATGTATTTTTTTCTACTCCTAGCTTAGAACCTATACCATTATTTACTCCTTTTTAAGGCGTGAAGTGTGTTTTTATCTATCGAGGTCAAGGTGATTTTATGAACTACTAGTCAATAAACATACCTACCTCTATCATAATCAACCCGAATTCACTATTCTTATGAAGGAGAAAAAAGATAAAAAGTTTTGACATGAGTTATTCCACAGCTGAACAGATCTCGGGATTTTTCCAACAAATCTGCACAGTCAATTAGATTGTTAACAACCTTATAAAGGATCAGGATAGAGAAGTATTGTCTTCTTACGTGCATACTTACAAATTTGAAAGTTTCAATTGTAGGGTATTATATGTATCGAATGACCTGTAACTTAACAGTTTTGAAAACCGTCGTTGCAGACTTTCAAGACAATCAGTATTGTGTATTGTTATAGTATGGACTCCAAACAACCGATGCATATTCAATCTTTGAACGTATAAAACAGTAGTACCATTTCTTTACAGTATCTATCTCTTTGAAATCACAACTGTTGCGAACTATGAACCCGTATGCTCGAAATGCAGATTACAGGATTCAGTCAATATGATCATCTCTGTGATGATTAAACTCTATAGATTGATCAAATATATGCTATCATGGCCATGGCTACTAGATTTCAATTAGAATTGAAAATAAGTGCTTTCATAGTGACGATAGATCCATATTTCAGTTTCACAGAACTATAATCATTGAAATATATTGCTAGGGGTGAACAAAATGTATATACATCTTGGTATTGAAGAATATTATAACCACGGGAACTTATACCCCTTGGCTGAAGCGTCAGGAAACAATCTTGGTCTGAGAGTAATAATGATATTCTATACTACCTTGATGTCTAAATAACTATTGGAATGAAACCAGGTAGGATTCTTAACATTTTCATAGAATATGACAAGAAATCCCTCCCTAATTTTTGTAATCATTCATACACACCCTGTTTACTGATTGACATGAGAAGTTAAATCCAGGCGAAAAATGATTGGAGCCATGCATAGGTCGCGTGCACGAAGACCGACCCTGGAGGCAAAATATCGAAACACAACCTCATTCTTCTGTGAATTATTGAAACACAACCTCATTCTTCTGTGAATTATTGAAACACAACCTCACTTTTTTATTTGGTTACAGAGGAATCAAAAGGTTGAAATAGTTTTTCACAATATTTTGGCATACGAATCGTGTTTCTTGCGTTATTCATTAATTCAAGCATGCCTTCGCATTGTGCTGTTGTACAATGCACAAAAAATGCAGCAAGAGACTAGGGAATATGATTTTTCAGGTAAATAGTAATCTCACATAGTTATCATTATGAAATGTTGTCATTCCTTATTAAAATTCCTTCTGCCTTCTGCCACTTCTGCAATTCAAGCTAATGCTGCTAATAGATTGAAAATGTCTACAACACACACGATCGCCAGCATGTCAGACCAGTCCTACCGATTGATTGCATGAATCCAATCTTCTTGCATTATTCTAGAAATTTCAGGTATATTTCTATTAGCTGATCCTATTGCAGAAGGAATTCCGATGAGAAATCAGAGAAATAACCAAATTTCAAAAATGAAAACTATGTGAGTGACTATAGTAGGTACTTACTTTTGAATCATAATGTACCATCCGGATTTCTTCATCTTTTGCTGCGTTTTTGTGCATTTTACAACAGCACAATGTGATGGCATTAGCGAATTGATGAATAGCGGAAAAATACGATTCATATGCCTAAATAATTGTGGAAAACTATTTCGATCACTTGTAAACAAATATGTTTTGCCTCCAGGGTCGGTCATCTGACAGTTCTTGCACGCGACCTATAGGGAATAACCCTATACACAAAAAAGTTCAAATAATGTCATGTCTCAATTAATTTGATGACAACGTCATTCAGTGTCATTGAAAGTAACCCCTCAAAATTCACAATGTGAAAAATGACCGAGAATGCCACAAATTCCGGCCACATCAATTACGAATCAATATTCGCGGTCGCAGTGAGCAGCGCATTATGGAGATTAGGCTACGAGGCCACCAGGTACGTGCTGCCTAAGAAAAACCCAGAGTACTCATGCAGAATCATATCCTTCGTGCACGGCCTAGTGATGGCCTTCATCGGAATCAACCAGTGCTTCATGATAGATTCTCCCTTTGACCACCCCGAATGGAAAACCACCTACATGCAGTCTTTCCTCATGGTCACCAGCTTGGGCTATTTTGTTCACGATCTGGCTTGGTGTCTGCAGCACCAGACCGAAGACAGGCTGATGATCGCTCACCATGTTTATAGCGTCTGCGCTTTATTCAGAATGCTGTTCAAAGGATATTCTGGAGCCCAAGCGACTTGTGCTTTGGGAAGCATGGAACTCACCAACCCCTTTCTTCAAGCTAGATGGTTCATCAGAAGTGAAGGGATGTATCCGTCTGTACTGTTCACCTCTGTTGAAACCACTTTCATGATTGTTTTTATCGCCATCAGGATAGTACTGGGAACTTACTTCATGTATGTTATCATCAGGCAACCGAAAAATGATTGGGACTTTGTCATTTTGTCCCTGACCATTTACATAATGTCTTGGATGTTTTTCATTAATATAGTGAAATATGTATTGACCAAATACAACTTTATCATTAGAAAACTACGAATTCTTCAAATCAAAAGGTTTTAAGCATATTTTCTTGGATTCTGGAAATTCCTCAGGCAATAACATTTTGTTTCTTGATTGCGATTCCCACAACAGGCCACAATAGAATGATAATATCATGAAATAAACTTTTTTATATAAAAACTGCTTGTATCAATGATGAATGCTATAACTTTGCATTGACATGAATTGAAGTAAATTGATCTGAATATTTTGAGATTTATTGTGCTTAATTGAAAGCTGCACTTCTTCGAATGATCCTGAATGATCAGACTCATCGGAACCAACCAGTGTTCCATGATAGACGTTATGGACTTGATGATCCTCTCCACAATTAACTCCTAGGAATCCAGATTGAAACTATACAAATCGATTGCATTATCATCATTGTCATATGGCATTGGGGTTTGGGGTCTGCGGTATCCTGATATAGTGGAATGAGCTCAGGTAGGATTCTTTAAACGTTTACTTTCTCTTCCAAGGAACACTCCTGATTATATCGTTCGCTTGGAAACATCATCCACCCAACTCAGACTAATAATCTTCAAAGAAGTTCTCTCATTGCTTAATGACATCATACTAATGGAAGACTCTCGCCTTCCTGGAATCTGCTTCTTGGCACTTACTGAATTGAATAATACAGATGGAAGGTACAATTGGGTTGAGCAGGTCTAGCAATATTTTTTGTTCGCTGATGAACAACAACGCTGGCAGAATTTCTTATTATTGTACGTCTCCGAGACTGATCCTGCCTGTGTTTTAGAAGTATTTCAAAGGAGATTACTGCGCTATGATTTAGAGAGATCATCGAATTCTTCATATCCCCTCATCTACCGAGATCTGTGCTTGTGCCTTGATGGCCAAAACTGCCTGAGAGCTTCTCTGTTCATGTATATTGTGAGACTGATCACTCAATTACGAACTTGCAGCAAAAAACTGCTCAGATTAACCTTCAACGGCCAAGTTTACTCAATCGACACTGAAGTAACATGTTCAATTCGTAACCTACATGAAATCGAATCGCTTGAACATGTCTTGTTGGTATTTCCAATTTATAGAGGCATACGGGCAAATTAACTTTTTGGGCATCTGAATAATATAGAAGATATCACTCGGCTTTTGAGCTACGGAACACTTTTACAACTCAAAACCTTGGTTCACTCAGTGATGAGCATTTTGAAACTCAAGTCATTTATTGTCAACGAATAAACGTAGGGATAAATATAGAAATTGATATTCGAATTTTCTTTCCTTTTTTTTGTACACTACTCACACTTTATTGGTTCTTGAACTCATCAGCATATATTATACAGTTTTTCTTCTCCCTCTTATTTTAATGATCTTGAGATATAGTATTATGGAAACAGATTGATATGATTTTTCCGTTTTTCAACTCGAACTCCAACCCTTGTGATGAGAATTATGATTCTTTTGATACAATAAATGATCTATCTATAATAGACTCTCCCTTTGACCACCCCACCTACATGCAGTCTTTCTTCATGGTCACCAGCTTGAGCTATTTCAATCACGATCTGGCTTGGTGCCTGCAGCACCAGATTGAAGACAGGCTGATGATCGCTCACCACGTTTATAGCGTCTGCGCGTTATTCAGAATGCTGTTCAAAGTATATTCTGGAGCCCAAGCTACTTGTGCTTTGGGGAGCATGGAACTAACGAACCCCTTTCTTCAAGCTAGATGGTTCATAAGAAGCGAAGGGATGTATCTGTCTGTACTGTTCACCTCTGTTGAAACCACTTTCATGATTGTTTTTATCGCCATCAGGATAGTACTGGGAACTTACTTCATGTATGTTATCATCAGGCAACCGAAAAATGATTGGGACTTTGTCATTTTGTCCCTGACCATTTACATAATGTCTTGGATGTTTTTCATCAATATAGTGAAATATGTATTGACCAAATACAACTTTATCATTAGAAAACTACGAATTCTTCAAATCAAAAGGTTTTAGGCATATTTTCTTGGATTCTGGATATTCATCAGGCAATAACATTTTGTTTCTTGAATGCGATTCCCACAACAGGCCACAATAAAATGATAATATCATGAAATAAACTTTTTTATATAAAAACTGCTTGTATCAATGATGAATGCTATAACTTTGCATTGACATGAATCGAAGTAGATTGATCTGAATATTTTGAGATTTATTGTGCTTAATTGAAAGCTGCACTTCTTTGAATGATCCTGAATGATCAGACTCATCGGAACTAACCAGTGTTCCATGATAGACGTTATGAACTTGATGATCCTCTCCAAAATTAACTCCTGGGAATCCAGATTGGAACTATACAAATCGATTGTATTATCATCATTGTCATATGGCATTGAGGTTTGGGGTCTGCGGTTTGCTGATATAGTGGAATGAGCTCAGGTAGGATTTTTTAAACGTTTACTTCCTCTTCCAAGGAACACTCCTGATTATATCGTTCGCTTGGAAACATCATCCACCCAACTCAGATTAATAATCTTCAAAGGAGTTCTCTCATTGCTTAATGACATCATACTAATGGAAGACTCTCGCCTTCCTAGAATCTGCTTCTTGGCACTTACTGAATTGAATAATACAGATGGAAGGTACAATTGGGTTGAGCAGGTCAAGCAATATTTTTTGTTCGCTGATGAACAACAACGCTGGCAGAATTTCTTATTATTGTACGTCTCCGAGACTGATCCTGCCTGTGTTTTAGAAGTATTTCAAAGGAAATTACTGCGCTATGATTTAGAGAGATCATCGAATTCTTCATATACCCTCATCTACCGGGATCTGTGCTTGTGCCTTGATGGCCAAAACTGCCTGAGAGCTTCTCTGCCCATGTATATTGTGAGACTGATCACTCAATTACGAACTTGCAGCAAAAAACTCCTCAGATTAACCTTCAACGGCCAAGTTTACTCAATCGACACTGAAGTAACATGTTCAATTTGTAACCTACATGAAATCACTTGATCATGTCTTGTTGGTATTTCCAATTTATAGAGGCATACGGGCAAATTGAATAATATAGAAGATATCACTCGGCTTTTGAGCTACGGAACACTTTTACAACTCAAAACCTTGGTTCACTCAGTGATGAGCATTTTGAAACTCAAGTCATTTATTATCAACGAATAAACGTAGGTATAAATATAGAAATTGATATTCGATTTTTCTTTCCTTTTTTTTTGTACACTTCTCACACTTTATTGGTTCTTGAACTCATCAGCATATATTATACAGTTTTTCTTCCCCTTCTTATTTTTAGGATCCTGAGATATAGTATTATGGAAACAGATTGATATAATTTTTCCGTTTTTCAACTCGAACTCCAACCCTTGTAATGAGAATTGTAATTCTTTTGATACAATAAATGATCTATCTATAATAGACTCTCCCTTTGACCAACCCGAATGGAAAACCCCCTACATGCAGTCTTTCCTCATGGTCACCAGCTTGGGCTATTTCGTTCACGATCTGGCTTGGTGCCTGCAGCACCAGACCGAAGACAGGCTGATGATCGCTCACCACGTTTATAGCGTCTGCGCTTTATTCAGAATGCTGTTCAAAGGATATTCTGGAGCCCAAGCTACGTGTGCTTTGGGCAGCATGGAACTCACGAACCCCTTTCTTCAAGCTAGATGGTTCATAAGAAGTGAAGGGATGTATCCGTCTGTACTGTTCACCTCTGTTGAAACCACTTTCATGATTGTTTTTATCGCCATCAGGATAGTACTGGGAACTTACTTCATGTATGTTATCATCAGGCAACCGAAAAATGATTGGGACTTTGTCATTTTGTCCCTGACCATTTACATAATGTCTTGGATGTTTTTCATCAATATAGTGAAATATGTATTGACCAAATACAACTTTATCATTAGAAAACTACGAATTCTTCAAATCAAAAGGTTTTAAGCATATTTTCTTGGATTTTGAAAATTCATAGGCAATAACATTTTATTTTCTGACTGCAATATACACTACAGGCCACAATAAAATGACAATATCACGAAATAAACTTTTTTATATTAAAACTGCTTGTATCTATAATAAACGCAATAATTTTGAATTGACATTAATTGGAGTGAATTGATCATTGTGCCTAATTGAAAGCTGCGTTCCTGAGAATGATCCAGAATGATCAGATTCATCAGAACCAACCATTGTTTCATGATCGACTCTTCCTTTGACCAACCCGAATGGAAAACCACCTACATGCAGTCTTTCCTCATGGTCACCAGCTTGGGCTATTTAGTTCACGATCTGGCTTGGTGCCTGCAGTACCAGACCGAAGACAGGCTGATGATCGCTCACCACGTTCATAGCGTCTGCGCTTTATTCAGAAAGCTGTTAAACGGATATTCTGGAGCCCAAGCTACTTTGTGCTTTGGAGGGCATGGAACTCACAAACCCCTTTCTTCAAGCTAGATGGTTCAGAAGAATCGGAGCGAGTGTATCCGTTTGTACTGTTCACTTCTGTTGAAACTATCTTCATGATTGTTTTTATCGCCATCAGGATAGTACTGGGAAATTACTCCATGTATGTTATCATCAGGCAACCGAAAAATGATTGGGACTTAGTAATTTTGTTCTTGATCATTTACATAATGTCTTGGATGTTTTTCGATAACAAAGTGAAATATGTATTGACCAAATAGAACTTTATCATAAGAAAACTACGAATTCTTCAAAAGATTTCAAACATATTTTCTTCGATTCTGGAAATTCAACAGGCAATAATGTTTTGTTTTTTGACTGCAATCTCCACCGCAGGCCACGATAAAATGACGATATCATGAAATAAACTTTTCGATATGAAAACTTCTTGTATCTATGATGAACGCAATAACTGCAATTGATGCTTTTTGAAATACAAGTGACTATTCTGAAATACAATTGACGCTTTCTGGAATACAAGTGATTATTCTGAAATACATCTGGTAGTGCTTGCTCGAGTGCTTGTACAGGGTGTTTCTCAAGTATACGTGTAGAAAATTCAGGAGCATTTTGCTGACGTCAAAATAAGAAGAAAAGTTCGTATAAATATATGTCTGAAAGTTATTCGTTTCTGAGATCAACATGATGATAACGTTGGAATTTGACAAAACTTCTTGAATGAATACACATTAATTCATGCTACATTTACACCGACTTTCAACAATTGCGATGGTAACTCGATTTCTTTTCTACGCATTTTCAACGTTATACCTATTGCCAATCAGGAAAGTTCTTTGGTGATACGGATTTAATACTTCCTTAATAAAATAGTATCTTCATTAAGGAAGTTTCTTGGTAGATATTTAATCATACAAAGTTTCGCTGTTGTTAAAATAAGTTACCAGGTGAATTTTTCAAATACCACTATTGAAGTATCAAGAAACTTTTCCGTGATGTTTTCATGAACAAGTATAGGTGCGAAATAAAATCCAGAATATCTTTACAAATATGTTTTCCTTGCTAAGTTGGATATCATCGACTCTTTCACAATCTCCCAAAACCAGCTATTCACCGAACTAACGGTAGAGGTAGGTGAGAGCTCTAAGCTCTATAACATTTTATCGAATTCTTTCATGAAAGCCCTTTCATATCCAGACGCCTATTCAAGGTTCTCTCGGAAAAGGGAGAATCTCAATGAAACTGATATCAGGGGAGCTCGACTCGGGAATTCATTTATTGGATTCCGAGTGGGATAATAAATTCAAATTGAAATAGATTAATGTTACGGCATATTTTTACACCGCGGGGAACCAATGCCAGGAACAATGTACCGCGAGAAGGCGAGACTAACGAGCGACATTGTTTCAACAAATGGTCACGATATTCATTCCGTAGAGATTTCGGGGACTACTAAGTAGGCAGCGATGGCAGCCTAGCAACTAAAAATGTAGTTGAAAATCACCGAAAGAAGTACTAGATTTTCGAGAAAGGTACTCAGTAGGGGTATTCCCGGTCCTCGTATAATGCTTCGTATTATCGTATTTTCGTATCGTCGTATTCAGCAAACTAATCTGATTGGTCGATTAGGATACGCGGTCCTTCGTAACTTTACACTACCATTTTCTTGTGTAAGATTACAAAATTGCTGTTCTTACGAAACTGTCCTGACAGAATTTTGTCCCGTGTCCCGTGTTTCAAGTGATGAGGTTAGGGTTATAGTTATTATCCAAAATTATGATTAACGAATTTTTATTGTTTGAGCTGCGTGGTCTGAGCATAAAGCACAATATAAATACCTCTGATTATTGCAACTAATCTCTGGTATTGAGCATTTTGATTTGGATAAAGGTATTTTAAAAATGGCAAGAATCAGAACAAGAACTATGTGTCAATCTTGGAGAAGGACTTGAATTATTGAAATTGTATTTTCAGTCATACAGTTCTAGCTCTGTTTCCAAGACAGATGATGGATTTGAATTTTTCAATTTCGCACTGGAAGCTTCGGAATAAGCTGACAGTTTACATTGCTATCCATGGGTCGTTCCCGTGTTTGAGGTTTCGTGACAATACGTAGGCCATTTTCGTAAATATACGAAGTCAGATACGAGGGCTCCGGAATACCCCTACTATTCGCGATAGAATACGATAGAAGATAAGCGTACGCCACCTATCGGAGTTCTTGATAGCTGTGAAAGCGGCATGTTTACTTTGTTTTCATTGGTCCACATTTGTTTTTTGTTTGTGTTTATTAGTTATATCATCAAAACAAACCGCTCAGAACTGTTCAAGTTGCAGCCGTCAGGTGGGGCGACGTGCTATTCTCTATCGCAAATTGGCAGCCACAGAACTCAAAGACTATGGCAGCCCAGCAACTCAAAATGTACTAGAAAAGAAAATCACCGGATTTCCGAGAAAGGTACTCACTAGCTTAGTCTTCTATTTTTAATCTGTGTGTGGGGGATGGGGGGGGGGGGTTGCGAGACAAGGAACAAAATTTAAAAAAAAACCTATTCACTCAACTCCATTGAACTGAATATTGTGAAAATTTCACTCCTCATTATTCAAAACGGAGGTAAACACTTCAATACAGTTACCCAGCAAACACAGTTATATCACATGATATCGCAGCGATGTAACAATTGTGGCCTGTAATGTCGCATGGACGTCGCTGCGATGTCAGAGGTATGTTATTTTGTTCTACTCAAGTACATCTCAGCGATAGAATATTCGTGATATTGCAGTGTTGCCTCATCGCGACATCTCAGAGATGTCATTACTCAGATGTGTCTGCTTCTGTATATCGCAGCGACAGCAACATTGGTGATATCGCAGTGTTGTATCATTGCGACATCTCAGAGGTATCACCCAGTTAACAGATTGATCCCAGAGATATGAGAGGGCATCACATTCATGCCACACATCACATCCGTGACTCGAAATGAGAGTCCCACTGAAATCACAATGACTGCTATTTTGGACCCTTTTGGTCATTTAGTGGATCACATTATGTTGCCGAATGAATCTCACAGTTTGTATAAAGCGACTCTTCATTCAACATCGGAATTGATTGATTCCATTTGTTACATAAATATACAAGAATGTGCGGTTTCAGTGAGTCTCTTGGTTGTTAGGGAGCCTCACAAATTCATCTACATTCCAAGTCTCAAATCCAATGAAATTTGACGAATATCGCACATATTTTGTAAAATAAAGAGTCCCCTGGCAAAACCAATGATGTTTTCTTGTAATTCGCTTTGTTACATGGCGAGACATGGATGTGACCTCTCAGGAATGTTTGTCTTCACTGGGCATGTCGCAGATGTGTTTGCTCATGAACATCGCAGCGATCGAACATTTGTGATATCGCACTGTTACTTAAACGCGACATCTCAGAGATGTCATGTCACAGATGTGGTGGCTGGGTATCGTCATTCTGTCATCTATTTTTATCCATTACTTCGAGCGACATGAAAATGAATAACCACATTCAATATTGACACGTTCTCAATATGAACTGTGATGTGTGAACTCAAAACTCAAAACTATGTTTGGATGGAAGACAATGATGACTACATCGAACTTTTTTTTGGTTCATCACGGTTATGTTGTTATTTAGTTATATCAAGTCAAAACATGGAAAACGTACAAATTTTGCGATCGGCGTACTAGCGTACTAGATAGAGTGAGAAAGTACCAGACCTAGTACGAACGTACTAGGACTTGCAACGCATATATACGTATTAATATACAATACGGATCATAACGGGTGCCAGGATGAAGCCAAAAATATGAAACAAATGAATATCCATAAGGATTTGGTGGCATGATACGCATGCGCCATGCGCTATTATAGTAGTCATCAAAGACATGCGTTTCGGTGGACAATGACGTTTACTAGCCTGTCAATCAAAGCAGTATGTGTCTGATCGTTTCAAAACTTTTCCTTATGTCTTCAAACATCGGCTTCATGTTTCGCTATGGAAACAGATAGAGATTATCCGTATTGATTATTAATACGTATATGTTGCAACGCTGTGAGTAGGTATAGTCTGTTCGTTTTGAAGGCAGAGTGGTGGAATGTGGCAATGAAATTTTGTCGCAAATTTTCAGAGAAATCTACCAGAGCACCGAAGTTTATGTGCGGGTACCAGAGTAGAGTGGCGTTCATATTTCGTGAATTATACGACGTTTAACTTTTTCTGGGAGAAATAGAATTTGCCGCTTCGATACAACGAAGTACGGACTATGGGGAGCTCAGAATCTCCGACAAACGAGCGGTTTGGACAACCCTTTTGCCGACAAATTATGGACACTCCATGATTGCGATGAGTTCTTTCAATTTTAGATTAATAATGTAACTGTTACACTCCACAGGGTATTACAAAGTTCATGAAAAAAAAACACGCTATCATTGCTACACCAGGTATGCATGAAAAAAATCACCTAGTTATCAATGTTATCAGAACGTCATCTTTTTTTTATGTTCTGGTTCCCACGAAAAGGGATATCCTGTAATGTTCAGAGAAAATCGTGAGAACCAATGGAAATATGGTAAGAATTGGTGTTCTTCTTGAATTTCTGGAGATTATATGCCTCGGGGAACACCTCCCTTGGCAATGTGTTCTAGAGCCTCGCTGTTCGTTGGATGAACAAGTATTTGGAAAGAGATGTTCTGCAGGTCTCCAAAGTGACCACGAAGGGGTGCGAAGCCTCAACTCGACGTGTTGATCTCGCGGGGACTGCCAAGGGAGGTACGATTGTTGATATTTCAGAAGAGCATTGGCCATGAGAATATCTGTAAAATTAAGCCAACTTTTCTACGATGTTCCAGAGAAGTGAGCGAGGCATCACCCACGAGACGAATTGCCCTTTTTGGACAGAATCCAACAGTTTCAGGGTATGTTTGGGTGCTGCACTCCAAATATGGAAACAGTATTCCAGGACAGGTCGGATCTGTGCCTTATAGATCATAAGCAGCTGACTGGAAGTGAAATAGCTCCTGGCCCGAAACAGAAAACCTCCCACGTGATTTTCCCAAGAAAGGTTATTGCTGATAGTAACAAGCATCAAAATGGATGCCTTCAAAGGTATGGTTACACCTGACATGCTTATGTTGGGCACAGCGAAATCGGCTTTTCTAGAGAAAAGGCATGCTTGTGTGTTGTTTGCATTGAAATCTACCAAGTTATTGGATCCCCATCCGAGAATTGTTGCCATATTTATGTTGTTCGTTTCTGATTTGCCTGGCTGGTATTGGAGCCCTGGAAGAGAGGGCGGTATGGAGGGTACCATCATCCGTGAAGCTGTGTACTGGGCAAGAAATTGCTTCCAACAAATCGTTGATATGGAGTAAAAATAGTTTTGGTGCTAGAATTGATCCTTGCGGAACACCAGCATTTATGAAAAGAAAGTCAGAGGAAACTTTGTCGACCACTACATAGAGAGACCTGTTTGAGAGAAAACTAGCTAGCAGAGAACATAGCTGTGGAGGCAAGCCATAAGATGGAAGCTTGGCGATCTATAATGGCCTTGGCGACCGCACATAGTTTTTGATAGCTAGCCGCGGGCTAAAAAAGCTCCTTTTCTACCCCTGTGACACAATATTCTATTCCCGCTTCGCGTCGTTTTTGAAGTGTTCACAATAAGTATATCATTGCTCACCGAGTTGCCTACTGATACATCATAATAACTACTCAACATGCATTGATATTCAAGATGTTGATCCCATTTTTTTCCACTTTATTGAAGGATGGACCACTCACCGCAATCATTGTCAAATGATTTTTGTATTGTACTCTGCCTGTTGTGACGATTTCTGTTGGTTCTGGACCGTCTGGAGTTTATTGTACTGAAATCTTTCACACCTGGGCTCGTCCCGTATTGACCTGGAATAAAAAAATAGATATTTATGTATCAAGGGCGTTAAATCGTGTAGGTAATGATCATGAGAATACGAGTAGGTAACCTTCCTCTTCTCTGGCTGATAATCGTGTTTGGTCGATCTGGAATAAGCATAATTGTTCATGTACTAACTGAAGCTTGTGGAGTTCTTCTTTCGTCTACGCCTATTATTACCTACTTCAAGAATATTTCCGCTATAGTGATTCATTCTGGAGACACAATAATTTCAAGAAATGTATGATTCTAGATGATAATTAATGTTTCGAACATCAGATAGTAATTTGTTTACTAGGCAGGAAAGTACAAGATTGAATGCCGCGGCTGATACTACATAGTTCGAGCGTATAGCAAAGCTAGGATTTCAGCCAAGGCATCAAATCTGCTTTTCTGTCTTGGGAAACATACAATTTTTTCTCAAAATTCGTTCAATTTCACGCAAACTCCAAATAATCCATCATTTTGTGTTCACCCAAATTGGTATCGTTGCATAGCAACAAACTTCACCTGCCCTACAGGCAGTACCTTCCTGAAAGTCGTCCATTTTGATACCAAAATTACTCGCAAAATTAGCTCTTGAATTGACGTTTCTACTACTGACACAAACATAGGTATATTGCTTGGCAGCACTCTTAGTTCCTAGGAGCTGAAGTTGAAACATTAGCTCCTAGGAACTAAAAAGGATGTACTAGAGGCCATCAAGAATGAACAACTTCGTTATGGTTGGTTATTTGGGTTGGGACGTATACCTGATTTGTTTCCGATTTCGGCAGATTTGGCATTTCATATCCATGCTGGAGATATAAATACACCATATTATAGTTAAGTATTTTTGTTTTGATCAGGAAAGCCTTCAAGATTTACATACTTGCTTGATCTGTATTCCATTCGTTATTCTCAGGATGGATAACTTGTTTTTGAATTATTATACGACCAGCAATAGTTTTTTGTCTCACACAACGATATTGTTTTACTTCATTTTATTACCGAGCCAAACACAGTGGAGTATGGAGAGAAATAAATGGTATTTTTCCTATACCTGTCACTGGTGCGGTATTTGCTATTAGGGCTGACATCTGTCCATACACAAATGGGTCATTCTGTGGTTGTATTTATATTGTAACTACAATTCGAACATTCGTGGAAATTGAATAAATTTTGCTTTCGCTTGGCTTTGCTAGACGCTCCGCCTCGAAAGTGCAAAATTCGCTTGTCAAACAAAGTGTCTCTTTTGATCCTAATAAAACAATCTACTATTTTCGTCCAAGCGGCATAGAAAGTGGCTTTTCTCTGACACCCAATAGGCAGGAAAGGTGTACTCTCTCTGCCTAGGCAGGAAAAGTTTGTTGCTATACCACATTCCCAGTAATTTGAATGAAATTGGTAATTAAAATTAACACTTGGATGAACGTAAAATAATGGAGTTTTCAATAAATTTTTTTTACAAAACTAGTATTGACATTTGTTTACACGGCACGCTGTTTTATGAACTATCAGCCGCGGCAGTTTCAATCTACTGCTTTGCTGTCTAGTAAAACGAATTAATATTTATACAAACAGCATAAAAAGTAGCTTTTCTATGACACTTAACAGGCAGCAAAGGTCCACTTTTTCTGCCAAGGCCGAAAAAGTTTGTTACTATGCAACGTTCCAAGTACTTTGAATGATATTGGTGATCAAAATTGACACTGACATTGGATAAACACACACAGAAAAAATGATTTGTTGCATCAACAAATTATTTATGCGTGAAATATTTTTGTTGGACTGAGCAATTTTTTGTAGAATCAATCAGATTATTTCATGGAAGCAGCTTGTTCAAATCAAGAATGTGGTCTAATTAAATCAACAGTATAATATCAATTCCATCTCAAAAACAAATTATGTCGATCCAAAATAATGTCGATGTTGATTCAATTATCATTTTGTTGATTCGATGAAAAAATTATCATTTTGATGGGAATATATCTTTGAAACAACATACAAGTTTTCTTATTCCGATGAAGCAATGAACTTGTTTCGAACGGATCATTTGCTTGAATTGAGCAACGAAATATGTAATATCAATGAAATATTCTGTTCATTCTACATCGAGTTAAATTTTCGCCTCTATATGGCGATCATTTCGCTTCGTCTATGCCTGCCTCGAATTCGTTATACGTGAAGCCTGATTCTTCGTGTTTGAATAATATCAGCTGGATAAATCGAACTTAGGATGATTAGCAAACCCAAATAGTTTTGCATCAGCTGAAAAGTCGACTAGTTTCCTAGTTTAGTTTATTCAATTGATGTGAAATTTTCGAAAATTCCCGAATTGATACTGAATTTGGTTCAACAAAACCATTTGTCGAATGGAAATACAGTTTCTCTTCAATCAACCAAATATTTCTTTGAATCAACCAAATATTCCATTAAATCAACTAAATATTTGATTGGATTAAAATCTTGTTATTTTGAATCAAACAAAATGATTGTTTGAGCCAATTCATTATCTCTTCATGATCAATTCATGGATGTGCTTGATTGAATGAGGTCCAGAGCTCATGTAAGACATATTTACTCAATTCAAACTTCAAATTCGCTCTGAAACAAGAAATAGATCTACTCATTTCAAGATTATATTTTGTCGTGCATATATGACACTTTTATTTGTTTTATTCATTAAATTTTGCTTGATTCAAGAATTACTTTTTTTCCGTGCAAAATGACGCTATGAACTATCAGCCGCGACAGTCAATCTAATACTTTGCTGCCTAGTAAAACAAATAACTATTTGAGGCATCAGGCATCAGAATCGCAAAGATATACTGACTGTTTCTCATAATTGTAGCTATTCTTCAAATGAATAATATATCATATCTGAAGCACGCAGTGTGTTATGCCCTGGAAAATCATCGTATATCTATCCAAACTAAGTTTTTGAAAAATTCATGGGATTATGTGAGATTCCGAGAGGATCTTGTGAGATTCCTGAGATTCCGATTAAGAATGGGATTCTGGTGAAATGTTTCGAAGGTGGTTCGATATAGAATAATTTCCCCTTCTAATAATAACTTAGTGTTGTTTGTTTTTTCTTTAGAAGCACTATTACATTGTCACTCTGATACCTACATCAAACTTAAATGAACCCTCGGTTTTGCCATAGTTCATCAACATCTAGAGCTACAGAGACAAAATATATGACTACTTGAACTAAAACCCCATCAAGGAAAAAATATTTATGAGAAGGAAACATCCATTCGTTATATATACACGGGTATACTCATACATGTATAGCGAATAAATCCTGCTGAAACGGATGATGACGTTTTGCCCTCTTCCAAGGGATTTGGAGAGATCGTGAAGGAGACCTTTCAGTATTGAAAATAGGATTTCTGATATAGGTATATGGTATACCGGGTGTCCCAGTATACCCGTTCCAATGAATTATCTCAGCTATTTCAAAAAATAGAAATTCGAAAATTCGTTCAAGAAAGCTTCAACTGAGAAAAAAAAAATTGAAAGTCACTTCCGGTTTGTCCGGTAGTGATTCTAAAACTTTCTTATTTCGAATAGCACCCTGTATATTTTTTGCAATTTTTGTTGTCTACTCAAAATTACCGTTTCAACGATGTATTACACTTTGTATTTTGAATTTGATTTGATGGAGATAACGACAATTGAAATTTCAAATTGAGAATTGCAGTAGGCTACGACATTTTTGGAATCTTGATTTTGACTTCAATAATAATTACAAATTATTAAAATTGTAGTAGATCATGTAATTTTCAAATTTTCATCTTTCGAAATGGCTGAGATAATCTATTGGAACAGGCATGCTTGGACACCCGGTATATCATCATACAACGATCATATCTGCTCTAATGGCAACCACAAATTTTACAGTATAATATTATCTTGAACTGTCAAGGATATTTTCAAGTTTGTTATAGCTCCGTTTTCAAATCTATAGTAGGTATCAGTAAGTATATTGTACGAAGGCCTGGAAGGGACACATAAAATAAAAAAAATGAAATCTCTTCAAAATTCTGAGTTATAACTCGGAATTTTAAAATTCCGAGTTATAACTCGGAATTTTACATCAAAATTCCGACTTATATCTCGGAATTTTAAAATTCCGAGTTATAACTCGGAATATTGGATGTAAAATTCCGAGTTATAACTCGGAATTTTAAAATTCCGAGTTATAACTCAGAATTTTGGATGTAAAATTCCGACTTATATCTCGGAATTTTAAAATTCCGAGTTATAATTCGGAATTTTAAAATTCCGAGATATAAGTCGGAATTTTAAAATTCCGAGTTATAACTCGGAATTTTACATCAAAATTCCGAGTTATAACTCGGAATTTTAAAATTCCGTGTTATAACTCGGAATATTGGATGTAAAATTCCGACTTATATCTCGGAATTTTAAAATTCCGAGTTATAACTCGGAATTTTACATCAAAATTCCGACTTATAACTCGGAATTTTAAAATTCCGACTTATAACTCGGAATTTTGAAATTCCGAGTTATAACTCGGAATATTGGATGTAAAATTCCGACTTATATCTCGGAATTTTAAAATTCCGAGTTATAACTCGGAATTTTACATCAAAATTCCGACTTATATCTCGGAATTTTAAAATTCCGAGTTATAACTCGGAATTTTACATCCAATATTCCGAGTTATAACACGGAATTTTAAAATTCCGAGTTATAACTCGGAATTTTGAAGAGTTTTTATTTTTTTTATTTTATGTGTCCCTTCCAGAGCTTCGTAATATTGTCTCGATCATCATTGTTCATCTGGGAATATTTCAACATTTTCGAAATTGACAGCTATGTTCTCTCAAATCAGAAAGCAGAAGCCTTTCTCCTATTTGATTGGTATAGCCGTGCATATTTTAAACCCACAAGAAGAATATAATTTCAGTTTTAAAATGCTTGTTTCATTTTTCCTGTAATCAAGAAATCCAAGCATCTATTCATGTTGTACGGTGAA